AATTAAAATTTGCGATAGGAAGGCCTTCACAGTAAAATTACAATAAACATTATGATGTCTGCTGGGGTGAAGGGAGTTGAGAAGAGTTGGCTCATGAGCAGGACATTAAGCCAATGTATTAATTAATGGATCATGAAATGACGGGACATAGCTCAGGCAAAAACAGCTCAACTGCTTCAAGGTTTTGGCAGAAAGTGAGTCTTAAAATATTGACAAAATCAAAATAATAAACATTCATATTTTCCCCTATATACTTGTTCTTTTTAGGAAGAAATGTAAGCCCAGAAAAGAAAAATGACCTGCACAAGTTCTTCCAGCTTTTACTCATTAAAACCTTGAATGGGTTACTTAATCTTTAGGATTCCAAAATATCATTCTCTGTAAGATTGGGATGATTGAAGTGGAATCTAATACCTTTCCTATGCCAAAAAGGTTTTCATGAATCCTAGGAACTGAGTTGTGTCTCATTTTCCACAGAAAATTCAGTAGCTGAATACTTACTCATAGGTTTATTTGCTGCCTTGGCCCCCTGGCATCCTGATGCAGACAGATAGGACAATAACGCAGCGTCTCCTTGGCTTTACCGCTTTACTGACATGCTCCTTAACAGATGGATTATATTTAATTTTTTCCCATTGATGTCCATAGAGAAGGAAAGGATTCTGGTCATTAAAATATGATTCTCCATTCAATTTTACATGTACTTTCTAACAATTTTGGTGAAGCAAAGTATTACAATCTGAACATATCGTAGTGTTTTGATAAAAAATGTGGGCTCCAGGTAGAATCAGACTGTATTCAAATCCTTCTTTACGCCACTCTGAAGCTTTAGTTTTTGAACTTCATTATGTTCATCAAAGGAGATAATTTAATAGTTTTTCATTAAGGATTAAATGATAGTAAGTATGTAGAGCAATGCTTAAAATGTATTTTAAAATAAATATTTGCTAATATTATGGCAAATTAAATGATGTAGTACTGTCAAATATGAATTTGATTAGCAAATTTCCTTAATTTCTATTATTTTAATTTGCTGTCTACTTTGTTTTCAGAAAATAACTCATTAATGCAATATAACCTCTGTGGGAGTTGTTTGGGTCTCTAGGATTATAAGCCTGCTGCTCACTCTATTTGGATTCTCCATCACTTACCTCTTACTTAATATTCTAGAAACTTAAGAGAAGAAACTCAGAGAATAAATGTAAAAAACTTGTCTTAAAGCTCAAAATCCACACAGACAACCTATTCAAACACTAAAAATCAGTCCAATATAAAAGAACTGCTTTGAACATAAAAAGACACAAAGACATACCGCATAGACTTTAAAACACCATTTCTCCGGTGATCGGAGCCTGGTCTCAGCAAGGAGACAATGGCCCAGATGCTGCCAACGTGTGAAAAGAGAGCATTTAAACTTCACAGACTCCTCATTATACCTCCAACGACTATATATGACAAGACAGGTTTAAGTGAAACATTTAGTCAGTTCTTTACAGAAGGCCAAAATAATTTTTTGAGTGATTTTCATAGAAATGAGCTAACTCAATGGATTAATTTGGTCCCAAAATGGATTCTGTATTTAGAGCCAATTCTCTCTGCAAAACTTCAACACCAAAGCAAGGGTAATGGAAAAACTGAAAATGAAAATATTTACAACTAAAGAATGAAAACAAGCTTCAATCTTCTTAGTGATTCACAAAGCACCAAAGCGCTGGAAAGTAGTAGCAATTCAAAGTGCTTGTTTTAAAAATTCAGACATTTGTGCAGTTATAACCATGAGAACTAAATAAGCTAATCTCTGTGCACAGGAAACACCTGGACATAGTATCAATATTTAAAGTTCATCCTAATTTGTGTAGCAATTTATGAACATCATCTTAGAATTAGGTGACTCTTACCATGTTATGTTGTTCAAAACAAAAACAAAACAAACAAAAAACTCCACTGGAAGACTGTCTGATTTCAAGGATTACGTGAGCATTTAAAAGAACATACATTGATGTCTAAACTGAAATTTGCTTAATGGATTATAAATATCCAATTTATCTTGGTAGATATTGTTATTTATTTTATAAAAATATTTATTTTTGGTAAAGCTTTTAGAGATTGTTTAATTTTTTAAAAATCTCTCTATTTGGCTGGTACCTTTCCAGATCTATAACGAAGCCTATGAATTATTAACTTCAAGACTGTCTTAACTTTCAAATAACTTTTCCCAGATATGCGAAAGAGCTCTTCACTAAAATGTTCTTTCCAAAATGAGATTCAAAAAGGGCAAATGCAAAACAGGCCACATACGACAGGAAAATCACAAATGCAAATACAAACTAGCTAAATTGTGGCTTAACATCAATTACATCGTTAGAATAGTTCTTGGAAAATTCAAGTTTTCTCCTCAATTAACCAGTGTGTTTAGGGAGGCAAATGAGAGCTGAAATGAAGGATTTCAGATTAAAATCAGTTCTGGATAAATTCAAATCTCAGTGGAATTATATACTCCACATACCATGCTGCCAACTGCAGCTGTGTGAATGTAACAAGTGCAAGGTTGTTGAAACTGACTCAGCAAAAAATTTTAAAGCACCTGGATACTCAGTGAGTATAGATTCCCCATTACAAATTAATTTTTAATCAAAGAAATGATATCCAAAATAACTTTATAAAATGTTTTGTGTGATTTTATATTTTAAGGATTTATGTATCATAGTATATGTACATTCTGAGGTAGCTGCTATAGATATTCAATTTTTTAAAAAGAATTGCATTTTATAAAATATAAGTGTCATATAAATTAATCTTGATTGCAATCAATTTGTTAATTTATTTATTTTTTGGCTATCAAGAGTTTCCATATATTGGTACATATTTTATTTTTACTACAGAAAATTCAGAAACAGGACCATAGAAAAGGAAGTATGGAGAATGAAGAAGATAATATGATTATTGTCTCACCAAATACTGGTAATCTTGGTAAATATTTGAAATTTAAAAAATCTATATTGCTTTACTAGAATAAGATAAACATGTTTTGGACATACCATATATTCTTTGCAACAGTAAAAGCAAAAGCAGTAAACACCTATCATAATAAAATAATAACCCTAATGGTCAGCATACATTCTAAGATTTTAGTCTAACAATACACAATTAGTAACATGGCATCTAAATATAAACTGGCTGGTTATGTGTATGCCAAATTACCATCCATCATTTGTCCAGGCATCTTTAATTCAACAAGCTCATTCAGAGAAACATAATCATAACAAAATATTAATTAAAACAGACTTTTTGGAAAATAAAAAACTCTGATTAATTGAAATTTTATTTTAACTAAGAACCAGAAGCTGTGGTGGCCTGCAGTATTTGAAAACTCAGTTACAAGTTCCTTTTAAATTCCATCATTCAATTTATATATAACCCACTCTCAGAGAGGTAACTTGAAATACCAAGCTATAAACTGTGTAAAGCCCATTTTCTTTCCCTTCACCTCAGGAACATGACTTTAGTCTATAGAGTTTGCCCCTGAAATGAAGCTGCTTCACCTGCACATAGAATGGGAATAGCTTCCTGGAGGCCATGGGGCAAGGACTGCTCACTGGGCAAAGTGATGTTTTATAGACGAGGAAGATTGCAAGTCCAAAAACCGAAAGCAGAATTGATGTGCAGATCTCAGAACCAGCGTTTTAGAAGAGCCGGAGATGGGATAAACCTTGCCTGGAGAGCGGTGACGTTTCGAAGATGAGTGGGAGAGGGATAAAACTGGCTGGGAAATGTCACACAGGTAGCCCTGGCGTTGACGTTCATGGGCTAGTGGTTATACATTCTATGAATGACTCTGGGAGGTGTTAAAAACCGTGAATGATGTTGGCAGTGGATGACAAGTCTAGTTCTTTGCTTATTTTCTGTTTTCAATGCTCTTACAATCTTAATTCTTACTGAAAATATTTAAACTATTGAAAATGTTTCTAAATAGGGTCATCACTTTCTTGCTGGAGTAAACACAGTATGAAGGCAGACATATAATAATAATAATAGTTAACATTTGTTGAGTGCTTATTAGCATGACCTAACCCCCGAGCTAAGCACTTTGAGCACACTTCATGCCTGCTTTATGAAGTGGTAATGATTTATTTACATTTTGCCTGTGATGTGACTCAAGTTCGGCAGGGTTATGAAAACATTTCTTTGAAATAGAGTGTAAGCTGGTTTTTAACACAGGTCATTATGCCCTCTGCTGGTGGTTAGAAGTTTCTGTACATCTGCCTTGGACCAGCTGCTGCTCTTCAGCAAGAACATTGGATGATGTCAAGTGTGGGTTAATTATGCACTAGGTTTATCACCAGTTTGCTGACCCTCAGATCAGAATTCGACCAAGAAGGCTTTAAAAATATAAAAGGTCAGTTAGGGGAATGCAGGATTCATACAAAGTTAGTTCCCAGGAAATGATTATCAAGTGTGGAGAAGAAATCGTCTTTTGGTGGAGCTTGGAGTGAAAGTGGGGTTGGGGGAATGTATTAAAGTATCTTGGAATTATTACCAGGAAAAAAAGTATCCTGAGGCTGGATACTTGGGGCAATAATAGGAAATAGTTGTCTGGCCCAAGGATGTAGCATTTGCCGTTAGGAAAAAAAAGTAAAAGACAGAAAAGAACCAATAGTAACCTAAGTAAAACCTCTATAGTCATATTTTTGGCAAAATTTAGTAAGAGTGAGAACTGAATGATGCCAATATGGCAGTTTTTCCTAGGATATAATTGGAAGACCACACCATCATTCAAATCTTTGGATTTGCATACCCACAGTTTCATTAAGGGCATCAGATTCAAAAAGTAGTCTCTCTGATTTTCTTCCTCAGAAGAAAAGTCTAGTGTAAGACTCTACTTATGATCCAGGAGTGGGCAGAGAATCAGATTTTTCAGTATATGTTACCATCTGCAAGATCATCTGGAAGAGGTATTTAGCACCATCCACAAGGAAGAGCTAAGATTTGTGGTAGGAGACATGACCTCCTCGTTATCAGCTATTTCTCATGTGATTATCATGTCAGCAGAATTTATTACAGGGATTACAGTAAATGGATTTCTTATAATCATCAGCTGTAATGAATTGATCAAAAGCAGAAAGCTAACCTCAATGCAACTCCTTTTAATATGTATAGGGGGGTCTAGATTCGGTCTACAGATGGTGTTAATGGTACAGAGTTTTTTCTCTGTGTTCTTTCCGCTCATTTATCGGGAAAAAATTTATGGTGCAATTCTGGTGTTCCTTTGGATGTTTTTTAGCTCTGTCAGTCTCTGGTTTGCCACCTGCCTTTCTGTGTTTTACTGCTTCAAGTTAGTAGGCTTCACCCAGCCCTATTTTCTTTGGCTGAAATTCAGGATCCCCAAGTTAATGCCTTGGCTGCTCCTGGCAAGCCTGCTGGCCTCCCTGAGCACTGCAGCTCTGTGTATCGAGGTGGATTACCCACAAAACATAGGCGATGGTGACCTCGGGAATTCCACACTAATGCTGCATAAATTCAAGCTAAAGCAAACGAATGATGTGCTTCTTGTCAACTTGACCCTCATATTTCCTCTAACCATATTTATGATGTGCACGTTCATGTTACTCATTTCTCTCTGGAAACACACTCATCGGATGCAAAATGGATCTCATGGTTTTAAAGGTGTGAGCACGGAAGTCCACATAAATGCCTTAAGAACAGTGCTAACCTTCTTTATTTTCTTTATTTCTTATTTTGCCGCCTTTATGACAAACATGACCTTCATCATCCCTTACGGAACTCAGCACTTCTTTGTGGTGAAAGACATAATGGGAGCATATCCCTCTGGCCATTCAGTTATAATCATCTTGAGTAATTCTAAATTCCAACAACCATTCAGGAGGCTTCTCTGTCTCAAAAAGAACTAATGAAAAGGAGGACCAATGTAAACATTTCGTTATTTTCTTGACATGGAGTCAACGGACTTGTGTTTTGTTTACTTTAGATGCATTTTGTGGGCTCTCTCTGGAAATTCCCTGTTCATCTCCCATCCCCAGGGTGTGTTACATGGACAAGATACCTGTTTTTCTGGGGCTGGTATACTTAAAAATATTATGATAGTAGTGCATTTTTTAATAACCAGTACTTGTGCTGGAGTGCCAGAAATCAGAATAAAATGCTAAGGTTTTGTTTGGCTGACCAGCGTAGTTCTGTCTTCCCAAGTCATTGAGAATCTTCTGTTTTAGATAGGGAAAATGATGTTGATTTAGTCTAAGATGTGGAACAATATAATAGTTTAGCTATTTGATTACACATCACAATTTTTCATAGAGAGTCATGAATGTAATTAATGTTAAAGTGAAAATTGTTTGTTGATAGGGTATGTCAAGGTAATGTACCCAGATATACAGGTTAATGTCTTATTTTGCTTTTAATCTGCTGCTAGTTAAGGTTGATAAATGCTAAGGTGCAAATGGAGCTGTGTATATGCATGTATATGTACTGGGGTAGGTCAGACTTGAGATCCCTGGAGAATAGGGCTGACCCCGAGTCCAGGGAAACCCTCCCTAGCCCAAATCCAGCAAAAAGGCAAGGGGCCTGAAAGGTGCTACCAGAGCTGGAGCTTAATAGCACACAGCCTTGAGACTACTAGCTCTTGATACAGGCCTATCACAGTGCCTGTGAGCTGTGGGGGCTGGACACCCCACCCAGGGTGACTGGAGACTTCTGCCCACACCCGGAAAAAGAAGCAAAGACAAACATGGCCATAGGTTAAAAAGCTGGACACTCCCACTGGCTTCCCGTGCACATGGTGTTTTGGGAAGGCCCTTTTTAAAACAAAGGTCCGGAGAAGCTGCCCTGTTGGTTGGGGCTTTCTTGCTTTGGAGCCTGGTGCAGACTCCTTCCTGGCTCTCGGCTTATGGAGCTTTGGCTTGGGACTTTTGGTCACAGATGTGCTTGGATGCTCTGGGTCTCTGGCCCTTGCTCCTCATATAGATGGGAGTGCTCATCAGGCCAGCAGATGGCAGGCTCACCGGAGGCTTTGACCCCACAGTGTTGGGAGCCCACTCCTGGAGGTAGAGTCCCATGCTGAGACGCATGCCTCCCTGGGCTCCAGCCCCTGGGACACTGTGACCCAGTGCAGCATGCACATGGCCCTGGACTGCTACATGGGGACTGAGAGCAGTGCACCCCAGATCCTGAAAGAGCTGCTGCAAGAAGATGGTGACTCTGAAACCCCCAAGTGTGCAGCCCAGAGAGGAAGAAGATCTGTTTGCATCGCTGGCTTAAGGCCAGATAAGGAAATGGGGAACTTCTGAGCTTCTGTCTAGAGTGTGGCAACAGCAAATGGCTTAAAGATCTAAGGGAAAATTTTGAAATCTATTGCTAAATTTGAATGGATTCTGCTCTTTAAGGATCTCAAATAGTCTTGCTTTGGGGAAGAAAAAATTTTTACAATATCTTACATCTCAGGATATCTGTCTGAACCTGTGACCTTCTCGTTGGCTCTTAAAAAAAGTAACCCAAAAAATGCATAGTTATTTTAATTGTAAATAAACTGTAATTAAAGTAAATTAGAAGTTTCCAGGATGAAAAAACCAAACTAGGTGTGTGCATATGTTTATGCACATGTATGTATGACTTCTTTTTTACATTACAAAATATTTTCACATATAATTGTTTTCTTCATTCTCAGAACACTCTGTAAAGTAGACAATGGAATTATCTCAATTTTACAGTTGAAAAAATCAGGTTTGTCTAAGGTCACTCAACTACACCTAGTGGTATAATTAGAACTCAAACATGGCTCTCCTGTCTCTAATACCAGTATCCTCTCTGTTTGCTTTTCTTTTTTATTATTTTCATAGTAGCTCTGGACTCTGAAAGCCATAATAAGAAATGACATTCAATCTATGACCTATGACATCCTCTAACCTTTTATCTAGATGTCCCTAGAACGTCAATTGAGAAATAATTCACAAATCTTTGAACTATTTATCGTTTGATCTAATTATTTATTTTCTATTTTATTTCATTTAATATTTGGTTTACTAAGAGTCTGAAGTTATCTAAACGTAAGTGTCCCAATTTACATTTTAGTATCACTTGACTCATATAGTAGAGATATTGCTATGCCACCCTCACGTGTTATAGATTGGTGGGGGCAGGTCAAAACTCTGCTAGAAAAAACTGGTATTCACTATTTTACATCCTGAGATCGGGGTACTTGTGCAGCTGGAATTTACTCCTTAGATTATAGTACAAACCTATAAGCTTTTGCATCACCCTATACAAGGAGAACCCCACAATTGCTTGTGTCCCAGGTCTAAGCTGAAGGTCCTTTTCATGCTAGTGCTATGAATGACATAGGTGGTCATGGAAGACATTTCATACTGAGGTCTGATATCATTGAGCCACTTACATCCTCTAACATATTGATTTATTTTTAACTTAAAAATAATGTTAATAATTATTGTTAAATTGTAAAATAATACATTGTCAGTGCAGAAAATTTAGAAAATACAGAACTATAAGAAGTGAGCCTAATGTAATCACAGGTAAAATTTTCATATACTTTCTTTCAGGATGTGAAATACTGCATATGTACATGTAAATATATATGCATGGGGTTGTAATTTATTACATATGGGGATCATGCTGTGTATAAACTTTATATTACAATTTCATTTAAATTACATGAGAGAAATTTTGTGTTTTTAATGGTTTTGTAATTTTCATTTTATAGATGTAAGTTTGTTCTTAATTATTTCTCTATTATTAACTTTTGTATCTCCATTAATAAAGAGAACTATAGAGTCAAAAAATAATGTTTATATTGTTGAGGAAAAAAGAAACACACCCAAAGAAACCAAAGGAAACCCTCTAAAATAAAATAGAAGTCTCAAATAAAGGAAAAGAATATCTTTTATTATTATTGCTATTTGTACATGAGTAACCAAATTAGTCTTAATTCCTTGAAAGATCTGGGCGTGGGAACCCTCAGAACAGCCCTGTTGGCATGGGGACCGTTTGCAATGATGCTCTGGGCTGGGAGTTCCTTGGGATGGGCTTGTGGTGTAGCAGGCAACCTACGATTCCATCAAGTCTGTGTAAAGAACCATCCATGCTGTAAGGGCTCCACTAATCAGACAATTAGTTTTCTACTCCAGAATTGTTTTATTTTTCATGTATGTTATCTCACTGATCTTCAAAACCCTGGCAGAGGATATTATTATCTATATTAAAGATGAGAAAATCTAAACTTGGAAAGACAAAAAATGAGTACTTATCTAGGTCTGAATCTTACCTTCTAAATCTATATTCCTTATCTTTTTTCTAAATGTAATTGTGCACTGAAGTCACTCGGAAAATATTTTTAAGTTGCAGATTCCCAGGCTTATCCTAGACATGATATATATAGCCTCTGGAGATAGAACCCTAGAATCTATATCACAAAATTTCACAGGCAATTCTGATATGGCACATTTATGGACCAGAATTTGTGGCTTACCCCATGACAGCATGTTAATGCTACTAAAAGAAACCTAAAAATATGTTCAAGTCAATATAAAGTGTTTGTTAGTAGGAAATTTTAAAGGCATTTAAAATACTAAAGCTATAACTCACCATTTTATTTATACTCTTTTTGTTGAAAGGACCTGATTCACATTTTGGTCACCTAATATAACAGGAGACACATGAAATGATAAATAAGAAACCCGGTCATGGAAATCCAAAAACAGAAGCTGAGACTGGCCGAGTCAAAGGCAACTCTTTAGAGCTCTATAGCCATAATTTTTGGAACCTTCTCTAGAACTCATCCAATATTGTGAGTCAAGCTCTCTCTGCACATCTACTTTCCTCTCCTCACTACAGACATTTGTTCTTTGCCTTCTATGTATATCTTTTCTCTATCATATTTTTATCATTAGTGTTTTGCCTATACATAACTCCTACTTCATCATCTATACAACATACTCTGGGTCTTGAATTTACCTCACAACTTCTCTCTAGCTATCCATTATGCTTTAATTCATATTAGTATCTGTGATTTACTATATTTATCTCAACTCAAGTTATTCTAGAGTAAAATCTAGATTATGCATCTGATTATGCATCATCATTATTATCAGGCTATTTACTAAGGTCAATGCTAAGACTAGGTGCTACTATCCTTCGATTAGGGTCGAAGTCTGAACCAACCAAATTGAATCTGGAAGGTGATACCACTGGTCTTGCCAGGTTTGACCCTGTCCCTTCAGCTGGACTGTGAGCAGAGAAATTTCTATGAAGACATGTTGGGGAGAAATTTCTATGAAGCAGGCACTATGATTGTCATGAATCTGTGTGCTTTGTAATGCCTTAGTTTTTCTGGACTTGGATAAGGCAAAGGATACCCAAGGAATGAAGATTCCTTGAAGACTTTTCCTGTCATTAAAAGTTTAAAATCCATGAATTAGGAGTTTGACTCATCTTCCCTTTATATTCTAGATAATTTTTTTTTATTAAAGAAGACTTCTAACTTATGAAGGTGAGATCTTTTACTGTGTAAGACGATATATACAGTATTTTAAAAATAAGTAAATACTGAGAGTCGGTTGTGTGGTCACACTGAGAGGTGCACATGTTTATATGTTTACCCTTGCTGGGCACATCGCTGCTGATTTAAACCTAAAAGTAATTTTGAGGACATCTATGTGTACTCTCTTTCTTCTGGGTTTTTCCTCAGTAGACACAACTCTCTCTCACTCATCTCAGCACTAGAAAATTTATATTTAATTAATCAATGAAAAGTTTTTGTTTTAGTTACTAGAGCTATTAGAAATAAGGCTTTTCCCATTTAAACCTGAAATCTTACACTTCTTCTGTGTGACACTTCTTAAATAGTAATTTTTAAAAAAGATTTAAAAGCTTTCTCTCCACATAC